TGACGACTCTACATGTTTCGAGGCCATAGATAGGCCTAAATAAAATGTTTTTAATTGTGTACCAGTTTAAAGTTGAATATTATTTATGATTTTAACAGCAAAACATATTTCTTAATCTTGTTTTGTTTACGCTATTAAACTGTGGTATGCAAGAACATATTTAATATTTTTTATTTCCATGTACAGTAAGAGTTTATAAAAACGTTCCGACAATGGAACGTTGGTCAACAAATGTGTTTAAATTCCTTTCGATCGATCTAGCTATCTATTGTCCTGGATTATTCCCCTGTGGCATCATGTTTGCTTTTTCGCAGGAAAGATTACGTTGGTAAAAGTGAACAGTGATATGTTCCACTGGTGGTGTTGAAATGATAACTTAGGGACTTACTCCCTTATTTTGTTATTGGAATGGCTAACAGTGACTTGGATAGCGCATTTGCGGTAAAAGGGATGACATTAAAGAATCTTGTACGTACGGCTTTGCGCTCTTAGTTTTGAATGGGATTAACAGGATCTCCATATGATATCTTCATATCCCCAGTATAAGCACTGTTCAGTCAACTATGCACCCGCCACCTTGATTGTTTTTGAAATAAATAAATATTGCTTCATATTTTGTCACATACTGTTTCTTCTTTGTAGTGTATAAAGAAGTATTCAATGAAGAGTTACCCTCTTTTTTCTTTCTCTTTGCAGGTACCAGAATACCCCTCATTCGAACACTCCAAGTACACCACTCATCGCAATCCGAGTCATCATACTGAGGTAATGGAACGACGGCGACATTACAGTGACAGTCATATGTCACGTCCGTCTCGTGCCCGGAAATGGGGGTCAATCACATCCGCCAGTTCTGTCAAGTCCGAGCGCAACAAGGTACGACGACATCATTCCCAGTATTCGCGTACGTCGTCAATCAGTTCACGACGATCTTCAATTCGTCGTGAAGCAGTCCTTGCTGATCGTAGGGGTACAGCCAATATTCGAAGGATGTCAACCCAAACCATCGCCTCCAGAGGCAACTGGGGTAGTAAGTGGGAGTTTCTTCTATCCTGTATAGGTCTCTCGGTAGGCATCGGAAATGTCTGGAGATTTCCTTACTTGGCCTACGAAAACGGAGGAGGTAGGCCAAACGCTAAATTACCTACTTGGAAAGACCTTCATAATCGAATTAGCTGAGATTTATACTTAATTAACAAATTACAAATTCAGGGTCAGTATAAGTTAAATCTATGTTACTTTTCAATAAAGGAATAAATTAATATTAATTCTGTTTTTAAAGGAGGGCAATAAGAGTTGCCTTAAAAAATTATAGATTATCTAATCTTATTTCTGTAGTGGGGAACAATCTTTGTACAATTATTTGGTGATTATATAATATAATAAAAGAAAATCAAATTGGATTCACTAGATGGAAATCTTGCTTTACCAATCTGTTTGAGGATATTACTTATAATATCGATGATGGAAAGGGTATGGTCTTGGTTTTACAGAAAGATTTAGATAAGGTACGACACAAAAGATTAGCTATGTATATATATATAAATCACATCAGTGGGGGTTAAGAATAGACTAATTAGTTTGATGGATGAGAGAAAACAAAGAGTTACTGTTGATGCAGTATAGTTAAATTACGTCTTTGGTATTAGCGTTGAGCATTAGAGACTAGTGCTTTGGTCTCTGCTTTTTCCCTTATTTACATTAATTACATTGCTTTGGTCATACATAGTAAATAAATAAAGTTTGCTGACGAGGTTAAATTTTTAGGTATTTCTTACCTTAGGTCGGTTGGTAAGTTAAACAAGTAGATGGCAAACCACCTTTACTTTTATTAAGTGCAAAACACAAAATTTAGGTTACCATAATCTGGATCCAATGTTTGATATAGATGGGAAATGACAGCATAGCATGACATAAGAAAAGGATCTGGATATAATAGATAGTCACTCATGCTATCGAAGAAGTGCTCTGTTTCTACTAGTAAAGCTAATAAAGTTCTATAAAAGACATTCTAATTACCCCCCTATACAAACAACTTGTTAGATCATACTTAGAAGATTGGGTACAGTTTGGGTCTTCTTTCTAAGAAAGGATAATGAATTTTTGGAAATGATTCAGAAAATGATCGAAGAATGTAAGGATTATGTTAAAGGGATAAATTAAGAATTTTTACCCCATTTTTTTTCTTAAAAAATAATGGTAAAAGGTAACCTCATTGAATTTTAGAATATTATCCCGCGAACTTATAGAATAAAGGTCTCTAATATCTTTGTGCTGGATTCTGCAGACAATAAAACAAAACGTTTAAGATTTGGAAAAGAAGGATAGTTAAGACATTTTTCCAACATGGCGACTGGCTTATGGAATGAGATACTATCGACAGTAGAAGAGACTAGCACCTAACAAGATTTTAAGAGAGGAATCGATGATATCCTAAAAAAAATGAAGTTGGATTTATATCATTTACTATTATTTTTTTCAGGGATGAGGGTGCAGGGGCAGGTTTGAAAGATCAAATGATAAAATTTGTTGTTCATATATTACGTTATATCAATAAGAATGATTACATTTGAATACTTTTTCATGGCTTAATTTGATCTTTGATATATTCTAGTTAATGCACTCACTGTGTGACTTCTGTTGATTGATCACTTTTTAGATAGTTTCACTACTATTAATAACTGCATACAATTCATTTGTTAATAAATATATTTTTGCGAAAAGAGCTTTATTATAGTTGTTCTTAACTACAGTTTTTAGTAGCTATAAAGGTTTATACATTTCCACGCCAGTCATGTAGTCTTCTGTAATTTTAAAAAGGAAGCATTGATTTTTATAAATTAATATAAAGATCAACATAATACAACTTGTTTGTTTTTAATTATGCACAAATCTACACAAGGGCTATCTGTGCTCTGCCCACCACGGGTATCGAAACCCGGTTTCTAGCGCTGTAAGTCCGCAGACATACCGCTGTGCCACTGGGGGAATATAATACAACTACCGAAGGCTCGACATGTTTTGATTGGCAGAATTTATTTGCGACGTGTTCTAGTCACATCTAAATCTGCATCGATACTAGTAAATGTAGTAAGTTGTGTTTATTTACGTGCACAGATAATGTTCATAAACGGCAGTGTAATTCTTTTTATAAAGCTTCATCTCTCAGTCACGTACTCGCTTATTGTCCAAGGTATTTCACAAAATTATATAATATGTGAACCCACTGACTTCGAATCAACGTGTGTATTTATTGTGCGAAACATTTTCAGAAGCGATTTTGTGTTGTTCCATTGCTATTATCTAACATATTATTATCTATCATATTGCTATTATTGCATGGGGACATTTTTTGGACGATATCTAAGGGTTGATAATTAATCACTAGTGTGGTTGGCACAACATAACTGTTGCTGTTTTAACTTTGATTCCTATTTAGTTACAAAGAAGATCTTAACATAAAGTTATAATTATATTATCTTTTGGTTGGAAACAAAAAAAAGTTATTCTAAAGAAATCCCTTTAATGCTGATAATAATGCTTAGGAAAAAGTTGTTCTAAGCATTACTTTTATTATAGTCTAGTTAGAGTCTTGCCCCCGGTAATTCTGAGGGTTTTTCACGCTAAAAAAGTTTTTTTTTATAATCGCGGTGAGAAGAGAAGAGATAATAGCTTTTAGTGTATCTTTGGGCTTAACAACAATGTTGTAATTAATTTCTAAAATATTTAAAATGCATGTATTATTTATAAACTTCATTTGTCTGTCACAGTTTAATTCTGACCACTGTAAACCAGCACCTTGATATTGCAACGTTTCTCTGGTGACAGCCAACCTTCGGCTACAGTCTTTTGGAATTTGGGAGTAGAGAAATGTTACTTTGGAATCTCGTATGCGATGTATGGTACTTTTCCAAGGAGTAAAATGTTTTTTCTCTCTCCCATAGTTTAGAAATGACAACTGTTTAGTTTACAGAAATTTTCAAAATGTTTCGTAAACCATTTCTAGAGCTAGAACAGACTTTCACAAATGGGAAATCCATCTTGTACACGGCAAGTGTCTCAGTTAGATATTTTGGGTTTTCTCAAATAAGATGTTTTTAGTGACCTAGTTTTGATGTTGTATCGACTGTCTCTAGCGAGATCGCCAGGTCTAAGTTTAGAAATGTCTATAGGCTATTTCGTCTTTCCTTGCACTTGGATAACCAGTGAAATGGGCAGCGCCTGTACTTTGATAATATTGTTTTGTGTATATAATGTTTTACTCTCGCAGTCTAAGACAGGAAATTTAAACCTTGAAGCTAAAAGTGTTGTTCATTTTCATGTGCACTTGTTAGCTCTGACCACTGATTTTTGCTTTGAGTAAACATTGCTGCTCATTTTGTTTTAATATTGTGTTCAATCACTTCTCTGTCTTACATACAGTCGGAGTTAAAGATTTCAGTTTAACTCAGTAGTAAATTTCCTGCCGTTGCTCTAGCTTTAAGGTTGTTATATGTATTTCTAAGCGTACATGAAGATACCACAGATTTACTGAAATTAGAGAAGCGTCTGTTATTTTTTCTATCTTTACTTGTGTTGTCTTGATTTATCTCAGTCTTGTCTTGGTTATCGTACCATAAAGTTCTGCCCTAGTCTTGGTCTAAGTTTCATCCTAAAAGAGTTTGAATCCTATGATAGTTCATTAAAAATAGTCTAGTGCTGTTGTTGAACTTGAAATTCTATTGCCTACATTCTTATGTTAGTGTTTTGATGTAGTTTGTTTAGAAAACGTGCAAATTTTTAGTTGGTGTTAAAGTCTTGTGCGGTAAAGAAAACTACTACCACAGAGTTGTGTTGAAAAAGTATTATTTAGCGTTCACTTATATTCAAAATCGACCACCTTGTTTTTTTCAGTACATGTACCCCCAGTGGCACAGCGGTATATCTGCAGACTTACAACGCTAGAAACTGTATTTCGATATCCGTGGTGGGCACAGCACAGATAGCCCATTGTGTAACTTTGTGTTTAACTACAAACTAACTAACTAATTCAGTACATGTCTTTCACTTCCATATTGTTCAGATGTGGTGCCCTCAGGTAAGACTTATTCCATTTAGAACAACAAGACTAATAACAAGATATTTACTGCGAAGTAATTCTATGTTTTCTGACTACTGAAGTCATAATAAATACATAAAGACTAAATAAAAACGTATAATTCAAGTGAAATATCGCTACACATGTGACTAGTCATTCTCCAATGAGAGATTATTAGTTCCAGATAGCACCTGAACACCAATGAAAAACATGCTCGTTTAACTTCACATCATACTAAAGAAACAAGCGAAAGGAATGTAACGACATTCTTGACTCACGTGGTGTGAAAACAGTATAATATAACAAATTTTAAAAATTTCTATATTAATACAGGGAAGTAGAAAACACATAGTATATTTGATGACGAGGAACCCACTTTGAGACTAATAATGGTTGGAGACGGCTTGAATGGGTAATGAAGAAATATAAGTTTAACATAACAGCCTGAAAACAGCAAATGTACAACGTTTCAACAAGGTTTTGTCATCTTAAACTTATATAAAAGTTTTTCTTCATTACCCATTCAAGCTGTCTCCAACCATTATTTATCCTAAGAAGAAGCTGTGCAACCATGTTTGAAGGAGCCATGGGCAATATGCAGGCCACAAGAACCTAGTAATCGCCATGTAACTGAGAAACTACACATACTATAGCTCTGAACATACTAAGTGTATCTTCATGAAAGTTAGCAAGCTTTTCATAAACATTATAAGTCTGTTGTATACAAAAAATCTGATTACTTAATTATTTTTAATAAAGGTTTCTCTATAAATTTACAAAGCCTTTGCCGAGTCAGACTGAATGAAAGGTGATTTCATGCTAGGAATAACCTATAGAACTTCCCAAATTAATATCACAAGTTTTTTTTTCTGCAAAACTTTATACCTTATGTGTTATTGTCTCTACACTAACACTAAATACATCTAAATACTAAATAGTGAAGCGAAAAGTTGAAAAATATGAAATAAGATCACAAATACCTTGTGTTTTCTAGAATTACAGCAGACCGTAACAAAAATTATAATTACTAATTCTAATAGCATCATGATTCTAACCTTTTCACATAATTTCATTGATTTATTGCTCTTTAAACTACTGTAACAAAGCAATAAATTGCCTAGCTTAGGATAAAAAGACTATCCAGTTGTATCATACACCAGCAACCTACATACATTCCTCATGGAGAGATCACGATAAATCTTTTATTTTTGTTCCCTTCAAGTTTTCTTATTTAACCAAAGTTATACAAAACAAGAAATGTGGCACTACTTTAGTCTTGAGGCTTTTTACACTTGAGAGCATAGTTTATTAAGCCTCCCCCTTGATCACTTTATTGGTTATCAAAAAAATAAAACTAAAAAATTCATGGAGCTTTCAAATATGCATTTTTGAATGAAAAAAACAACAGCCACATAATAGAATGTCCCAAAACTACTACAGTTTACCTGGCTTTCTTAACTATGCTACAAATAGGCTTAAAAAATTCCATTATTGCTTAAAGCAGCATTTTTAGTCTATTCTCATCAAGCTCTCCTTACAAAGTATCAGCATTACCATTAAAACAGAACAGACAATAATCTGATTTATGTCAATCAGAATGTGCTCTTTCTATTGGTTATAAACATGCACAATAGCATTGTCAGAGACAGAGTGAGAGATTGGAGGGTTTTCGATATCTATAGTACATGTTTCTAAATGGTTGAACACTTTGAATTCCTTATCAGGGAAAAGTAATAATTATATAAATGAGAAAGTCAGAGCAACACAACATCATGCGACTCAGAAGGGTGCAGACTGAGAATTTATTTAAATATCTCCTTTTCAAATTACGAACTTAAAATTTAGACAATATCAAAATTTGAAATATAAATTAGGTTTGATGCCAAGTTTATTAACATTAATTAATAATAAAGTAGTTTAATTACATTTTAAATACCATATTTTTCGGAATATAAGACGCACGCTTACTTTGAAGACCAAGTTTTGGGGAAAACTTTACTAACTCCATTACTGTAATTTATTTTTTTTTATTATTTAGGGAGCATTATAAATAGTTATGATTTTAAAAGAAAAAAACTACTATTGTTATAAATAACACATTCAATTGAACTAAACTATGCATGCCTATTTAAATATATTTACACATGGCTTGTGTATATCGTATACATACATATATATTATTCATACCTTCAGTGTATAGGATGCAAGCAGATTTTGACATCAAATTTTGGGGTAAAAAAAGTGCGTCTTATACTCCGAAAAATATGATACAATTCTGTAAAAAGGTTGCAACATACGCAGTTTGACCCTCCCATGCTGGTTGTGTGATCAAATCCTGTCACCAAACATGCTTGCTTTTTCAGCTGTGGGGGTATTATGACGTGATGGCCTCCCACTATTTGTTGGTAGAGCATCCGAAATGTTTGAAGTGGGTGGTTGTTGACTAGTTACTCGTCTTCTAGTCTATCACTTAAAAATATCCCCCCCCCCAAGTAGTTTTGCACAAAATCAAAAACAACAAACTACACATTCCAAGTGATAAAGTACACAAATATAATAGTACTATGGTGTTTATTCATAAATGTTTTTATATATACATACCATACTTCAGATGTTAATCCTTTAATTTTCAGAAAGCACTCACATGTGCAACAAGCATACAAGTAAAACCCTGTTACTTTTTCATATTTAGGTTCTCTCTAACGAAGCAAAATACTCCAGATATTAACCAGTAAAATACACTAAATATTCAGTCACTTATAATATGGTTTGTATTTCCCGATCAACAGCAAGGAAAAACAACCCAGCCAAATGAGTAAAATAATAACACACCGTAATAAACAATATTGATAAATATGTTCTTTTCTTGCAAGTTAGCAGAAAAACACTTCAACACTGACCTTGTCCAGCATGAGGGGCTCCAACAACCACAGTGGAAGACTTAGGTGGATAGCCTGCTACAATAAGAACAGAATAATGTAAGACATGGAATAGCAATTGGATCTGTCAATATTCTAAACTACGATCTCACAAAAAAGCAAGGGAAATCAAAATAACTCCGAAGACAAATATTACACACATAATACATCAACACCAACCTTGTTCAGCATGAGGGGCTCCAACAACCACAGTAGAAGATTTAGATGGATAGCCTGCTACAATGAGAACAGGAGGATGTAAGGATTCATACTTGGGTATAAAAATAGAGAGAACAAGTAACATCAATACAAAAGACACAATAAAACCAACACGACCCACCTAATACATGCACAAAAAACATGCAACGTATTAAAGATATCCTTAGAGATCCACTGTTAGTTTCACACTACATACTATACACAGACTGAGGGATGTTAAAGGTGTAGTTAGAAATTATAAAACTGTCATCTTAATATTAGATTTATAAAAGGACTTCTGAAAGGAAAAATTACATACCCCATTACTAAGCATTGTAGGCTTAAATCTTGTCAGGACCACTGAACTTTTTGATACACTTGATATCAGTACAATAAATGTTTAAATTATCTTTATAGATAGGCCTACAAATCTGTCTACTAATGATATAATTGAGAGAGTTACTACATTTTTAGAGATCTACCAGTAAAAAAAGGAAAATCCATTTCAACTAAAATATATAATACTTAGACTAAAGTATAAGAATTTAAAAAATTCTAACCCATTTCATTAAATTAAAAAAAATTGTATACCAATTCTCCAAAACTTTTCTATTATAATAAGGCTTCACAAGCTGCATTCTCAGTAAATTTTTTTACCAACATGACCCATGCAGTACAACTCACAAACACAAATGGCAGGCAAACAAAAAACCACTAACCACCCACCTGCCATAGGAAAGACAGGAACCCCACCTGGAGGAGGGGGATGATGGGAATAAGTTGGAAAAGGGGCAGATCCAGCCCCTGTATCAGATGAAAGCAGCATGAGATAAAATGAGAAATAATGAAAGAGAGTAGAGCAGAATATTAAAAACGTATTTAACGTATTTAACGAATATTAAAAACGTATTTTAGTAAGCATATGAATTTTCAAAATATATTTCCAAATATAAAAAAAATAAGCAAACTGCAAAAACCCATCTATAAAACAAAAATACCATAAATGTACAGGATGTAAATAATGAAAATTATACTCGTACATAATAAACAATTACTATTCAAATTTGTTAGATAATGGATGTCGTAATCATGTTTCCCAACAGTTATCGGTTATCTTAGAAAGAAGGCCAAAGTTCAGATACTGTTAAATGATATTAAGCCTATACTACTAGGCTGTAATGGTTGACGTTACAGTATTACTTTATAGTATATATCTAGCTTGAATGGTAGAGTGAATTCTAATCCAAACATGAAATCTATTTCTGACATCAGCTTATCAATGTAAACACGTGAATCTCCCAAAAACAATAATCACTGATAAGATAAAAGCTTTCTCAGTTCGAAATAAAATGAAGCTTGGCTAGTTCATCATGAATAAACCCATACAAAACAAGAACTTCCATTAAAGTTTATATTGTACACATAGCTATTCGAAGAATTTTCTTCTAGAAGTTAAGAGTTTTATCTAATCTCAGTTGCCGCTTTAAAATGTTAAATTACCTAATAAAACCTCACATCCAAAAAATTTAAATCAACTTTATGCATATATTCCATTGGAATGCAAGCCAACTTTAAAGTACACATACATACATGCTTCAGTTTTTATTTTAATAAAGTTTTACTTGTGTATTTTAAAGCTGTCTTGATACGTATTGAAAGCTTACATATTAAAACCAAGTATGTAACTAGAAGAAGACTTGTATTAAAACACGCACCATCTGTGTACTGTAACTTGTCACTATAAAAATACATGTAACTTATTTTAATGCATGCCCATACTCCTGTATGGAGTTCTGAATTTTTACTTGTAGTTCAACCGGTTAGCTTTAAATACTTTTATTCATAAAATGATTAAAATAAACCTGCTCACAATGGGCTAGTATATCATACGTATAGGACAGCAAGATAACATTTACACATAACAAAGGTAAAAATAGCTTCAAGTTCAAAAAAAGAAGCTAAAACATGAACTGAGTTATAAAAAAGGTAAAAATAGCCTCAATTTAACAGAAGCTAAAACATGAAATGAGTCATAAAAAGGTAAAAATAGCTTCAAGTTAATAGAAGCAAAAATATGAACTGAGTCATAAAAAAGGTAAAAATAGCTTCAAGTTCAAAAAAAGAAGCTAAAATATGAACTGAGTTATAAAAAAGGTAAAAATAGCTTCAAGTTAACAGAAGCTAAAATATGAACTGAGTTATAAAAAAGGTAAAAATACCTTCAAGTTAACAGAAGCTAAAACATGAACTGAGTCATAAAAAGGTAAAAATAGCCTCAAGTTAACAGAAGCTAAAACATGAAATGAGTCATAAAAAGGTAAAAATAGCCTCAAGTTAACAGAAGCTAAAACATGAAATGAGTCATAAAAAGGTAAAAATAGCTTCAAGGTAACAGAAGCTAGAACATGAACTGAGTCATAAAAAGGTAAAAATAGCTTCAAGGTAACAGAAGCTAGAACATGAACTGAGTACAGTTCCTCCATAATTTTTCATACAAGACATGAACACGGAGAGCAACTGTGTCGAAAAAATATATTTCACTTGAAACACTGTCGTCTTTCACCTTCTTACAAAAGACTTACAAACTTTAAACACTAACAATGTTGTGAATGAACTTCTACCTTTTCTAGTTAAGCCTGAATGAAAAAGCCATGATAAAGAGCAACAACAGGCTAATTAGTAACTTGGATGCTTATGGAATAGACATAAAAGTTACAAAATCAGTTAAAAAGTTGTAAGCAAACTAAAGTAGTACGAGGACATTTTCAGAAATTAGGAAGATGAACTGCCTCCATAATCTATTTTCACGATTATTTATACCAATGATTTAGATGATATTTTAGACACATGAAATAAGATAATGGGGAAGTCTCATTTTTCAAAGAATGTTTAGGATAGAATGTGAAAGATGAGTTTCAATATTAAGAAGTGCATCCGAGGCACAGAAAAAATGTTTCTTGTGTAAGAAGAGAATTGGAGTTACATAAAATGAGAAGAACTTAAGAGTGATCGTGAAAAAAACTATTATAGCTTTTAGCTGAGTATTATTTACTTGTGGTGAAAGAACTAGAGGATTCTACATTTAAATTTAAAAGAATTTTTAACATCATGGTAAGAAAGTTATCGTAAACTTCAAGAAGATTCTAGTTTGGCCTTATCTGAAGTACCGTCTCTAGCTGTGATCTTATTACAGCAACAGGGCAGAGAAGTTTAATAGACTAATATCTAATTTAAGGAATTACAGCCATATGTACAAGGCTAGGCTTAAAGCTTTGGACTCATTTTTGCATGAATAGAGATTTAAAGATGATTTTACTCAGAATCTGTTTGATTGGTGAAATAAAAGCGTTAGAAATACAACATGATCATTAATGAAAATAGGCTTACTGTTTGGATGTTCACATGCAGTTTTGTTTTCAATAAAATAATTTGGTTAATCATAAACTTAGGGAATAATTTGGTTAGGGATTTGACGTGTGGAGCTATTCTGCATTATTTCAAAATTTTGTTGGAGAGGTATGTGGACTTTTAAGACGTTAGGTAGTGTTGAAATGACCAAAATTTAAGTGTTTTGAAGTTTTAATTTCATTATTAAAGTATAGTTTTCTTAAAAAAGGTTCTACTTAGACAATTTATTTTCCTATTGAAATTTGATTGAGCTTGGAAAAAAAAACCAATGAAATCTTTTTGCATATTTTAAATAATCCACTATGTAAAAAAATGAATGAATATCAGAGTAAAATTACAAAACATGACACATACGGTATTGTATACAAATGGAACTAGCCAAAGAAAACCACCATATAATTAAAATATATTCACTTCTAATAATTTACCATTAAAAAATGGAAGTTGTAATTATGAACTTTTTCTATTTTTATAATCTGAGCAAAACAATATTGTATTGGTCAACATGAAACTGTTGCCTGTTTTATGGTGAACTGCTGTAGTTATTATTTCAGATTATGCATTTTCATAAGTCTTGTAGCACAAACTGATATAAGTTGTGTTTCTGAAAAAAATTCAGTTGATTGGTGTGAAAGGTCATGAATGTTTTTTAAAATGGTCTGAAAAAGTTACTTTGTACAAACATGTAGCAAAAAATAGAGGAATTTACAAAAACTATTAATTGTGGACTTGTGCAGTTTCTGGTATTTTTGTTACATGAACATGCTTTCATTAGCATGTTTATGAATACACTTACCTCCTGCATAAGCACCAGGTGGAGGATTATAAGCATTTGGAGGTGGAGCACTACTATAGGGAGGTGGAGGTTCTGAATAAGGTGCGGCTGGTTTTGATGAATCCATTTCTTTTCAAAATCTACAGGAAAATACTTCCAACAATGTAAATAGTTTGTACAGTGTTCACAACAATAAAACAATTCTACATTAACATATCTCTAGCAACAAAGACCAAAGTTACTAAAATTAACAATACAATTTATAAAATTTTTCTGTAACATACAGTGCTTTAAATATATACACACACACACACATGTAAAACAAAATCTATCTGTTTGTTTGTTTGTCTGCCTCGTTCACTGTGCAGGTCACACTTCCCTCACATGAAGGTGCACAAAATGACAATTTTTCATTGATATACGCATTTTTCGTCTGCTACTAGAACAGGTAATTCTATCATTAAGATATACATTACACGAATAAATTCTATGCAGACTCGACTTGAGTTAACATTTAATTTAGAATATAGCATCATAAACCTATTTGTTTACAGATCATTAATTATACATCTACTAATACATCATATATTTAATCTCACACACAAAAGAAATGTATGCAGAATTAGAATGTCGTGTGTGAAAACGCAAACAGTAAACATGGCCTATAAAATAAAATTATACTGTCTGTCATAAAAGAGACTACGTGAAAAGATTAAGGCTTACATTATAATACTTATTATGTGCAATGAGATTAAAGTCAAGTCAGCAAATATATTATATCCTACATTTTTTCTCCGAGTGATTCTATACCTGAAGTGGAATGTTTTTTTGATACATTATAAAATACAACATTGCATTTTGTTTGTAGTTTAACTCGTACATCAGTGTCATAACGTGAATATGGTATCACATTCATAAAAACAGATTAAATTTACATTAAAGCAGATTCAACATAATATTACATACATATTTACGTTTGAAATTTTAATATTTGAGAAGGTATGATGGGGGACATAGAGCTAGGCTTATCCTGTTCAACAGAATGGACACTCATACGTGTACAAGATAACCTAAATATTCTCCAGAAGGGCCTATTTATCCTTGACAATGAAGGAAAAATAAAAACATCATTCATAAGGAAGCCCGATTTAAAACAGGTTTGTAGTTTATTTTCAAATATCAAATCTGAGGTTGTTTTATTTCATAAATTCACAAAATTTATTTACCTGTTGAAATATAGAATGGGAAAACAGAGAGAAAGAGTAGGTATTTTTTCCAAATGCTGGGCAATACTGCTAGTATTTCTATATAATAAAATTGGTTATACAATTTATAATTCAAACCGATTATACAAAAAGAGAGAGAGTACAGTTGATATCGTGCAGCTCTAGCTTTATCCTGTTTGGGAATAAGGCCCAATTTCTCATGCTACCACTTTTGGAAGCCTTCCATTGTTTTGACTGCTCACTGTTCTTGATAATAACTGTTAACCAAACCATTTAAAAAACTGCCCTCTAGATCGTTTTTCCTCATACAATATTTGGTCTTATAGTATAAGCAGTCAAAAACCTAGCTTAAATCCTTACAATTAGTTTATCAAAACAAAAACAATATGATATCATACAAAAAGGAAATTTTTTACAACAGGACATCTTGCCTTGAATACTATGTTTTGACAACTCATGCTCCTTCTAAAGTAAAACCTTCCCACTTGTATCTTCTTGCCAACCACGACTGTAAAACATTATCGAAGATATTTGTAGTAATTATAACCCAATCAATCATTTTTTTCATATAACTAAGTATCACAATAATTACTTCAAAAAACATGTTTAATACCCATGATGTAGAAACTTTTCTCTTTAATCGGTATTCCTTCTACTCAAATACCCACACTAACATTTGTGGGTATGTTTTTGCTTTCATCTATATCAGTGGTTCTGAACCTTTTTTGCTCCATGCCCCACCTCGACACCTCAAAACACTTGATGCCCCCTTAATATAAAAACGAATTTGGTGATGAAAAGGTATAATAATATAATGTAAAATTTAGAAATTTACTTTTGAGTAATGGAACATTTTTCGCTCTTCACACCCAAATGAAAAAATTTTCTTATTGTAGCATTTTCAAATTGCCCCCCTATGGGGCATGCGCCCCACGTTCAGAATCACTGATCTACATGTATATGTATGACAGGAAGGATGTAAGAGCAGCATGCAACTGTATAGAGAATTATCAATGCTAAGACAAATATGTCATTTTATATATCTACAGTGTAAAAACATACAAACAAAAAAACTTAATGGATCAAATGGAAAAGAAAAACTAGAAATATGTAATCAATTATTTAGTTTTTATTAAGGGCAGATCTCAGTCTACATATATATCATTTTACCTCCCACAGTCAGTCTTCACTGTACATGAGCCCTCTACCAATTTTCTCACAATGGAAAAAAAACAAAAACTAATTAGCTCATTAAAATACCTTTTAATGATTTGAAATCGTAAATCTGTTTCTTTAGTTCAAACAGCACAACATGCTTACATGATTTGAATGCCTTTTCATACTTCACTTCAGAAGTGGGATGGCAACATAACTTTGGTAGTCACTTGTCAGTCAAATTATTACAATGGAATTTCATGGGTACCATTTTCTGCATTCCGAACTACTAATATTTATTCCTATGTATTTCAAATGTGTAAAAAACTAAAATCTGATTTGTTAAAAAATATTATATGTGATACAAGATACCAGAAAACTAAATTGTATCCAGTAGCTCTGTGTTTCCACACATCATGCGAGTGTGTGAAACTACCTTCAAGTGAATTTTTATCTAAATTGTATCCAGTAGCTCTGTGTTTCCACACATCATGCGAGTGTGTGAAACTACCTTCAAGTGAATTTTTAATCAATCCTTTTGAGTTTCCTTTTTTTCCCCCAAATTCCATAAAAATACAAGTTGCTAATTAAAGTCTCATGTGGAACCATATTAAAAGCTATGCGAGTGTGTGAAACTACCTTCAAGTGAATTTTTCATCAATCCTTTTGAGTTTCCTTTTTTTTCCCCAATTCCATAAAAATACAAGTTGCTAATTAACGTCTCATGTGGAACCATATTAAAAGCCATGCAATTAAATAATTTGAACTGTAAGTCATAAACTTTTTACAAACTAAGTTAAAATCCCCTAGTATTAAACACTACCCTCAACTCTACTAGACACGTATATTACTTTAAGTAATCCTCACTCAAACCTCCCAAAACACTCCATTTCCCAATCGACATAAGAAAAGCTCTTCCCTACACTTAAAACTAGATGTACTTTTGCACGGTCCCCCAAAAGTGTTCCATTTCAAGATTAAATAAAACCAAAATTAAGAGTAACAAATATTCTATTTCTTGCTTTTGAAGTTCATATGTCATGCTCATGTTTTACTGATGTCACAACAGTACAAATTGCAATGTTAAACGTCCCTTATGTGATATCATTTTAGTGTCTACTGACTGACTGTACAGTGGTATGAGTGGTTAAAACAAGTGACCCCCTCCAGGTGGCATTTAGCCCCTTTTGGGGGAATTAATCCACTCAATCTGGTTATTTACATAAATTCCCAATAATATCATGTTTCAACCTATTACCGTACTTAAAAGTGTCAGTATGCATCTCAAAAGATGAAAAATACCTCAAAGAGCTATACGACATTTTTATCTTTAAAACTTTGCAGTAGGTTATTCTACTTGTCAATGAACTCTTTTGTTTTGTCATTAATATGATCACTTGCTTTTCAATGTCACTGGTGTCACCAAGGGTTGTCAAGTACAAATGACCTCCTCTTTTTGAACTTTCCCAAGTTTTGATGATCAGGGAAAATAAAGACTAATGCTACAAAAACTGCCAAATGTGGCATTGTAATCTTATATTAATACCTATAACCTCTTTAATTTTCTAATATGTTTCTTCAATCTAACATGAATCTTACTGTGGCCTACACGTGTTGCCAATTTCAGAAATGAACCCCACTCCCCCTGAAAAAAAAAGTAATGTCCATGAATATGCACTACAAAAATTGTATTTCCTTGTGTTTCTACATTGACTCTCTACATTGTTTGGAACATCTTGAAATTAAGTGTCTGGTAAACAAATTCTAGTTCTAATTCTTCAACGTACTCTACAGTATATATATAATAATAACTTCCAATCAGATTAATTATGTTTTTAGATCAAAACTTAAAATCAACCTGATCATCAGAAGAGCTAATTAAATATATTTTCTTACATGATTAAAATGCATTATTTTAATAAGTGGATACCCTTTCTGTTAAGAATATTTTTTGTTGTAATCCCATTGTTAGTCCTAAATACATATTTTAGGCTAACAATGCAAAACAATCTATAATAACAGCATAATAATAAACACTAAATCAAAATAAAAAGTCACGACATTGTACTAACTAGCATAACCAATACTGTTAATGAAAATAACAATAAACAAATACTTAGTTTGAAAATCCTTTATTTTCCATCTCTTTCTCTCTCAATAGCAGCAACAGTTCCAAAACTATAAACTATTATTCATAATTTTCTAAAAGCAGCTTCATATCTCACTCTATTGTTTTTACACTTTAGTTAAACAAGTATTATAAATCAATCAAATGCATTTTGGGTCAGATCAGCTAGCATGACAGCACTACTTTGTACTTGCAACTCCTTACTTGTGATCTAAATGCTTATGCATAAATTAAGAAACATTATAAGATACAGTTACCCTACATAATCATTAACAATAACTTTTTCTATTGCACCCAAGAATACATAAAACCTGTAGATGGGACCTTATTTTTTCTTTTCTCCCTGTACATACAAAAACAGGATGATGCTGGTAATGGTATTAAGTTATCTATATAAATTGTACTGCAATTCATGACATAGTATACTACATTCAAATTAACAATATGTGGCAGTGGTGTTGCGACTATACACCACACTCATATAAATTGACATTAAATAGCATACGTAGTGTGTAAGTATACCATGCATTTTTGTCTTCTTATTTTAATATAGTATTTTTTTCAGAATTAGTAAGCTATTCTAGTATGTGCAGGGATTGAAATATTACATTCCTGAGGAATTTCATCTTTTAAGTTGGCTTTCCCAATCACGAATGCATGATCCATCTGTATTCCTTTAGTTATGACCAAAGAAGTTAAATGTATTGCATGGATTAAATAATAATAAAAAACAATTCATGAGGAAATGCAACTTTACATGAGGGACTGTAATCTTCCTGATAGCTCTCCCTTGAGTGAACCTAATGGTATTTCTTTATTTCTATCCCTGATGTGCAATTTCCCCATGACATGTCATCAATAAAGTTGTTTAACTGCATTCCTTCTAGCTGCCTCTGTTCTTTGTCATTCACTTAAGGTAAAAGCTGGTCTGTCCATGGGTGGTATGGCTGTAATGCTACACCTTGTGAAAGGATTTCAACAGCTCTCCTCCAGTGATAAGTCATGTGATGCCCCAAGGTTATAGCTGCTCTTTAAGTGTTAATGAGAAGGCCAGTCACATAGGTAGTGCTAGTCCCTCTGGGTAAGTCTGACATTACATCTGGTCACTTAACTCAATCTTTCACTCATTTAAAAAAAAAGAGAAGGGATGTGCAAGAAACTATATTTATTAAAGGGGAGACAGATGAAACAACTATGAGAAATGCTGGCCTAACTGTTACACTGCAACAGTAAGTTATTTAAAGAGACTTTTACTGTCATACTATGCTTGTAATACTATTAAACAAAATTTAAACAGTTCTTCTTCATTAAAAACTTTAGTATATAATTTTACCCCAACTCCACCAACTACATGAAAAATGGCCAAGTAGTAGTTTGATGAACTCTTAGGTATGTTAACTCGGCAAAGCATGAGATGCCAAAAACTGGCCACTCAAATTTTAGTCTTTCAATATGAAATAAAGTGTAAAGTCTACTGAAAACTGTGCCATTTAAAGTTAATATGTTTTCATTCTTTACACACTTACAGACTACATTAAGATTTCCATCTTTTAGAAATTAACTAGGTGTAATTTAAAATACGGACTTTTAAGTTCAGGTATACAAAATATTATGTACAAGTCTGATTTTCTGAATGATCATTATATAATACAATATATAGTACAATTTTTCACTTGTAAAACAAAGGGTAAAATATATATATATAAATTAAGATTAAATGACACAGCTTGAACAAAATGGTATTAAAAAAAAAGTGTTTTATATCTTAGAACTTTCTAGATGCATTACATTTCAGCAGTAATTTGTATAATATACATTGTTTCAACATAGAGTTAAGTAGAAAAACAAAAGTTACAAATGTAATTCACCAAATATTCAATAAGTCATAAGGCCTAGATACTTATTTCTGTTTGCATACATCACATTTTGTAGAAGTACAGTAACATGCAGTAATCTTGCTGCATTCCTTACACAACTTTTTGTACTTTCAGAAGATATGCTATTTACTCAACCCAGTGGAATGTTGGATTTCAGAATTCATACTTATAATTTCATCTAATGAAAGCACCACCTGTGAGTGCACAAAACTGTGGTTATCATAAACATGTGCTATTACATTATATAATATCTCAAGGGCCTCTTCCACATAAATTCCATGCAATATAAACAGTCAAAGAATATAATTTCATTAGAATTTTGTAGTTGAGAGATATTTGACCTACCCTAACTAGCATCCTTTCCCTAGCCTCAACTTCAAGTGACATCATCACACAAAATGGTTTTGATAATATTCTTACTCTGAATCACTTTATCAACACTTCTTTTGCCTCTTTATTTTAGGTAAAAAAAGAAAAAAGACTCTGAACTCCTCCCATAATAAAAGTTCTTTGTATAGAAGCACTTGTTGAATTGTTACTATGGCTCCTAATTTGCCTAAAACTTAAAACGTATGAAATATAAGTTTAAACAAGAAAATATCATGACCTATTTTTGAGTGGGTATTCATTACTAATGCTAAGATAACACTTACAACACAAGTTACAAAATCATTATAAGTTAACTTATAACTTAAAACTCTAAGTAAAAAAAGCATTTCTAAATTCTATTGTCCCAGATCAGCCGTTTATACTAGTTACTATGATTATTTAGTGTTGTGGTTCTAAACAATTATAATTTTTCTACATGCATCACCTTACAAGTTACAGTTTACCTTCGTCATTACCATTATTTAAAACAGTTTACAAAATAACTGCGATTTAACCAAAAATTCCGAAATTTCAACACACGATTAGGCCTTACCTCTCGCTCAACTACTATGACTCCCGTACGCATACAACATTATGAACTTTGTGCAGTAGAGGGCAAATATTTATAAGACGAAAAAAAGCATTTTATCATTAATAAAATTTCATCAGATTGTGCAAGCTTTCGGTGCGTGGGGCAATATATTTTCAACATGACGAAAACAAACTGTGCCCTTAATATATACATAGTATTATTTTACTATTTTAGAAAAATAAAAAGGTGCACAATAAAGAAATTTTTGCCAGAAAAAAAAACAAACAAATAAAGAATGAAAGTTACACTTTAACAATAAATAATAGGTAACTACACAAAACCGTATAAAATTCTCCTGGCTTACAGAGGAGGACTACTAGGATAATACCTTAGATGTAAATGTTGTCATATGAGAATAAACCAAGATTTTTGAACTTGTTTTTTCCTAGAAAAAGAAGAATTAGAAGGGATCTGATTGTGGTGTTTAAATTCGTTAATGAGATTGGTAGTGTCGATGCATCACATTTTTTCGTATTTAATGGAGATAATGGTAACACCAGGGAACACAAATATCAATTTGGGCATGGTAAGAGTCTCCTTCAGCTTAGACAGCTTTATTCTTCCAACAGGGTGGTTGGCCCTTGGAACTGGTTGCCTTCAGATGTGGTAGATGCAGTAATTTAAGGAAGTTTAAGAGAAAGCTTGATATATATTTCAATGATAGGAGCTGACTTTGAAACTTGTGTGTGTGTGTGTGTGTTTAATTTAATGGATAGGATGGTCTGGATGGACCAATAGGTCACTTAATTTGTTGTACTTTGACGTTATGTTATTAATATTAAGACTAATGTCACTTGTGTCAACCTCATAAAGCTCTGTGCGTAATTATTTCGCAAACAAAAATTGAATTAAATAGTAAACGTTAAGATGTCGAAAGTTATGTTCCTCAAAGTGAATCTTTAGAATGAATCTTCTGTTTGGTTTTTACTGTTCGACGAAAAATATCATTAAAGATCTCTCCATTCATCTTATAATAGTTTTATTTGTCTTTCGTTTTTAATACATATTTTATTTTATATCACGGAATTATATTTCTAATAATTATCACTTAACATTTTTATTTTTTACTCGAATAATACTTATTATTATTAAAGCTTATTAATTACTATTGTTGCGTCATCGAGGTCACGTGACTGGTGTGGCGCCCTCTAGTTTCTAGAACTATTTTGTTCTTTCAAGAATGCTCTAGTATTTACTAGATTGGGGTAGGCTGGTATATATAAGAGGGGGACAACGTGACGCGGTAATATGTGTGTGTAGATAGTGAGTAATTGAACTGCAGTCAGAAGTATTATTGACGTTCGTTGATATAGCGTTTGTTTAGCGCGATTATTGAAAACAAGTGTATCGTAAAGTTATATTTGGAAAGAATAAACCAGTTTTATTAAGTAAAGACTTGTGTCGCTAAAGTTTCGTCGGAATGAAGTTACGGAAAGTTAATTAACAAACGGAGACGTAACAATATCCAATTATTGTGTGTAGTATTTAAAAAAGTTAGTGAAAC